AACTTGCTTCAGTCTGCTTTGCAACAGACACTAGGAGAGGAATTCACCTTTCAGTAGGAAAATAACCTACAACAAAAGGCCAGATCTACACTGGAGTTGCTTACCAGTACATGTCTACTATGGAGGTTCCACAAGACTGTTGAGAAAGTGTTGGCTGGACAGACTAAAAAACGTTCACATATGAACACTGCAATTACCCAATCAACCAGTGTGCGGTTTCATGCTTGATTATATTCCCTGCCACAGATGCAACAACAGTTCGTTTTAGAAGCTATTTTCTCCATTGCTTACTTCTTCTTGTCTCACTCCCTCTCCATCACACTCTCTTTCAGCAACACTTCTGATTGAATTGCATCAACCACATCCCTCTCTTCCACCCTCCTCCCATCCCATCTACTCATTCATCTTCCGCTTCTTCTTACATAATCCAACATTTAAAAATGTAAACCATAGGCCGTATATGACGCAAACACATCTGTAAGTCAGTCTCTTGGGTGTACAGTGCACTAAGAGGTAGAAGATGGTACTGATAAGGCATTTTCTTCTTTCTTGGTTCGGATAAGCATGATATAAGCTAACAAAAAACATGAACATGTAAAGCCCAGTAAAAGTGGACAGTAAAAGATGGCAAAGATCAACAGTATCTCTAACTCATCTATTTGAGCATGTTTGGATCCCCCTGGTCTCTGTGTTCTCCACTCCTGCCCCTCGACTCCTCTCTTCTCTGCTCAGATACAGATAAAAGATACTCAAATATCTGTAGAGATCAGGGATAAAGCCCAGTGGAGGGACAAGGGAAATAAATACTGACCAGCTCAAAGGGGAGAAGAGAGCGAGAACAGAGAGAAAGAAAGGAGAGAAAGGGTGAGAGAGAGAGAAAATCCAATCAGACAACAGTAATTACTCTGTGATTTGCACTCACGCTCTTATCAGTTCAGAAATTCTTCTTCTGTCCCCTCTCTCGTTTTATCAATTTTTTCTTCCCTTGTTCCATTGATCCTTCCAGTTATCCCTCCCGTCCGCGATTCCTGATATTGTCTTTCTCATCATAAAAGAGAATTGTTGTGGCCATGTTGTGGCGTCTCTCTGGACTTCCTAACATCTTTTGCATCTCTGCTTAATGTAACTGTTATGACATCCATCCTCTATACCTCCTTCATCCTCTGTTCCTTGTCTTTCTTTATCTGGGTTCTTGGTGTTTCTCAGTGGGAATCAAGGACCCATCCCTAAACACTATCAGAGCTGAACTGGCCCACCTGTCCCCTCCCAGTGTGAATCTGCTCTCTCTCACATCGCTATCTTCCACTGCTACAGACTCATGGGTTACGGTTGGAGCTCAGATTAGGGTTGCAGCTAGGGTTAGGGTTATGGTTAAGGCTAGGTCTACTATTGTAAGTACAGTGTAATACCCAAACAGTGTTACACCCAAACGAAATCTTTGTAAAATAATAAAAGCACTGACTAATGTACGTACATCTTTACATAAGTTGGTCTAAGCAACTAGGGTTGTCATCCTGTCTGTAAAATGGTGGGGATGTCAATGGCACCATGCAGCCTCTGCTCCATCCCTGGCTGCTGATTAGACCACAGCGACACAGCAGCTCTTTAAATAAACACTCCCTCTCTCCTTCTCCCCCTCTCTCACTCTCTCTTAATCCCCCTCCCTCTCTCCACAGGCTCCATCACTTCACAGGTTATCAGAGAAGCAGCCTGGCTCCATCCCCAAACACAGAGTGCTGCACACAGTTAATAGACGGATAGAGAGAAGAGAGAGGGGGTGCTTTACAGACACTGGGTGTAGTAGTTAAGAGGGAGAGGAGTGTGGTGGGGGCACAAGCACTCGATGTAGTAGTTAAGAAAGGGGGGGGGGGGGAAGGGGGAGGGAGGAGAAGGAGTGAGGGAGAAGTGAGAGAGAGCGTGAGAGAAAGGCATCCCTTTAATTCCTCAAGACGGGCTCTTGTATCAAACGTAGTAAGTGTGAGAAGAGGAGGAGAAGGAGGGACGGACTGACGGACTGACGGACTGACAGAGGGACGTACAGAGGTCTGGGATACTTCTAAAGAGCTGAGGCCCAAAACGCTGAGGCTGGAGCGGTCGACTGCAGTCAGGGCGAGAACATCAGATGAAAGGAGGAAGCACTTCAGTCTGAGAAGAAGGGGAGGGGGACCGACACTGACTTATCCCTGACGGACCGACGACCCTGCACAGTGCAGAGAGGAAACAGCATGAGACTACACCTACTGGAGGCCAGCATACCATTACTACACGAGCTGGTCACAACTTCATTACGAAGAGTGTAAAGGAATCTGAACTGATACAGAGGGACTAGAAGTGAAAACCCATAGCCAAAACGCAAGGGGAGATTTGAGGAAAGACAGGAGAGAGAACAGTTAAAGCTTGTGAACATTGTCCACCTTCTTGAAGAAGTGGGAAAAAAAGAGAGAGTTTCACTGCAACTTCAAGGAGAAGAGAAGAGAGAAGAAGAGAGAGAGGCTCTACCAGGCTCCACGTCAATGTGAGTGAGAACGTACAGACCCAGGGAGGGAGTTGAACTAACTAAAACATTCTATTTAGACGTCAACTATTCTACTATCTGTGAAAATCATTCACAAAATTAGCAGCATTTTAAAATTACTATTCTTGTTAGCATCACTGATAATTAAATGCATAGATAATAACATTTCAGACAGGGGGTACACTACCGTTCAAAAGTTTGGGGTCACTTAGAAATGTCCTTGTTTTCGAAAGAAAAGCAATTTTTTTGTCCATTAAAATAACATCAAATTGATCAGAAATACAGTGTAGACATTGTTAATGTTGTAAATTGCTATTGCATTTTAATGGAATATCTACATAGGCGTACAGAGGCCCATTATCAGCAACCATCAGTCCTGTGTTCCAATGGCACGTTGTGTTTGCTAATCCAAGTTTATCATTTTAAAAGGCTAACTGATCGTTAGAAAACCCTTTTGCAATTATGTTAGCACAGCTGAAAACTGTTGTGCTGATTAAAGAAGCAATAAAACTGGCCTTCTTGAGACTAGTTGAGTATCTGGAGCATCAGCAATTGTGGGTTCGATTACAGGCTCAAAATGGCCAGAAACAAATAACTGCCAGTCAAAAGACAATAGAGCTGCTTCAGTATGTTCTAGATTAGAGAATATATTATGAGAATCTTTCAAGGACCAGCTTGAATGTAGTTCAGTGTTATATCAGTAACCACAAAGCTAGAGAGGAAGGTCATTTGAAAATACCATAGGACATGATTCAGTCATTTCTATAGCAGATTAAGATCAGTGTCTCCAGAGTTATGAGAAACAATGACGTGTCATTTTTCAAAGAATAGCAAATACATGGGATGTGTAAAACAGATGGAGCAGCCAAGTGGAGGCCTATTTTAAGTCGGGATACAACGCGTGAGCAGGTCTCCCTCTTACTGGACTCTGACCTTACACCTGAACAACACTTTACTAACAATAGGAGACTGACATAGAACGTAAACAGTTATCGAGTCAGTAACAATACTTCTCAAGTGGACGTCTTCCATAGCGTGGTTAGGGTCAGGGTTAACGGTCAGATGAGGGTGATGTGTGTTTGTTTGGTAAAAATAAGGGGTGGAAAAATGGAGTCTTGTCCTGGAGGCAGAACAGAGTGATATTCCTTTAGATAGGCCAGTTGCAAAGTCAAAATGAGCTTTTTGGTCTTAATTTATGGTTAGGGTTTGGCATTAGGGTTAGCAGTGTGGTTAAGGTCAGGTTTAAAATCATATTTTATGACTTTGTGGCTGTGCCAGCTAGTGACCACTCTGCAGAGCTGCCTCCAGAACAAGATTCATGACGAAAAACATGAACCCACAAATACCCACAAGAGTTTATCATGCGGTCAAGAAAACCCCTTGTCCCGGCTAAAACCAATGTGAGGCATTCAATGTTTTATTTTGTTTCCTGCACCTGTGGAAGTGCTGGATGTGCATACACTGCTTTAGAAATAAAAGTACTACGGGGAGGAAAAAGAACAGTACCCATGCTGCTAGAATTCTCATGGGTGTGCTTGAATGCTACCAAAAAGTATTATATTTTCCCTTGGCATTATTTGTACCCTGCACCTGTGGAATATTGCTCAATATACTACTTTTACAAAACTTCTGAACTAACAGTGTTAAGTGCTGGGCCTTGGCCCCTCTGGTCTGCCCTGATAGATTTAACACACTGGGGCCGAGCGGTGCCGAGGTCTGGGGTATTTCTGGAAGGCGGGCTGGCCGCTGACCTCAGTCCATTGTTCAGGCTGGTCAGGGCAACGCTTAGTTAGCATGGGGGAGGGGGTGCTATCCTGTCAGCGTTAATGGCACATGTCAGTTAGGCGTTATAGCTGATTCAGGGAAACTTGAAACTTGGTCTATGGTGATTTGGTGTGTTTTTTTTACCATACTGGAAGAATCAAACAACACCTTTACAGTGTCTTGAACAAGTTGTCTAAGTTTTCTAATTCTAACAAGACAGGAACGGCAGTCTGTTATCAGCCCAACGATAAACAAATGCATTCAGGCATGTGTAGAAGCACACACAAACACACACACACATGCACACACACATCCTTTGGTTCTGTCTCTTACCCTTCATCTTCATCTTATCCATCATCATCCTCTGTGCACCCTCATCTGGCAATTAGAGGCGTTTCCCACAGGGCCAATCAGCGTTCAGATGACGATCCCGCTCTGACCAATCAGCTTTCAGATAACCATCCCGCTCTGACCAATCAGCTTTCAGATAACCATCCTGCACTGATAGAAGATATGAGAGTGTTTATAGATTACACGGTGCAGCCTGCCGCCCTCTTCCTCTAACAGATCATTCCTCTAACTAACCTCCCTGTGAACTACCTTTGAAGACTGAGCTGGTACACTCGAGAATGAGAAACAAGGACCATATTATACATGTAGCGTTGCATTGTATTGTTCACATTGGATCAACCTGTGCTAACCTTTATCTCTCCCTCCCCAGTTGACCATGAGTATGAGCGGCACACTGGAGAAGGGGGCTCACCACCAGGCTCTGGAGTTCTCCGAGGAGCTCTCTCCCGACAACCACCACCACCACCTCCAGCACTCCAACTCTCTGGCCTCCAGCGCTCCTGTGGGGACCCCCTCCGGCGTGGTGGTGCCTCCCCCGTACTCTGCAGCTGAGAGTGGGGGAGGTGGTAGCGGCGCTCCCCTAGAGCTCCGGGGCTCTCTGGACTGCTGGGCGTGCTCGGTGCTGGTGACAGCCCAGAACCTGGTCATCGCGGGGATCAACGCCTGCCTGGCCGGACTGGTGTTCGGACTCATCCTCACCCCCGCCATCGTCATGGTGGTGTTCGGATTCCTCTGTCATTCTACGGTAAGAAGGGTGTGTGTGTGTGTATGTGTGTGTGTGTGTGTGTGTGTGTGTGTGTGTGTGTGTGTGTGTGTGTGTACACAAAGTAAAGGGCATTTCTTACATTCATCTTCCAAAATTCCTAGGTGTCATTTCAATTTCGAATTCATATTTCATCTGTGTCAGCGTGTGTGCGTCAGTGTGAGTGGTGTTTGCTAACACAGTCATAACCATTTACCATTTCAGAAGTACTCAGGAGTAACTGACTAGATAAGAGACCAGTAATTATATGTTATACAGCATGCTGACATTTTAGGAGAGACTAACTGTAAATACTAACTAAACTTTCACCATCCACCACGAGTTTGGAATAGTTTAGCTGAAAATTAGGGTGGAGTTTGGAATAGTTTTAATGAGGTAGAGTTTGGAATAGTTTAAATAAGGGTGGAGTTTGGAATAGTTTAAATAAGGGTGGAGTTTGGAATAGTTTAAATGAGGGTGGAGTTTGGAATAGTTTAAATAAGGGTGGAGTTTGGAATAGATTGAATGAGGGTAGAGTTTGGAATAGTTTAAATAAGGGTGGAGTTTGGAATAGTTTAAATAAGGGTGGAGTTTGGAATAGTTTAAATGAGGGTGGAGTTTGGAATAGTTTAAATGAGGGTGGAGTTTGGAATATTTTAAATAAGGGTGGAGTTTGGAATAGTTTAAATGAGGGTGGAGTTTTTGGAATAGTTTAAATTAGGGTGGAGTTTGGAATAGTTTAAATAAGGGTGGAGTTTGGAATAGTTTAAATAAGGGTGGAGTTTAGAATAGTTTAAATGAGGGTGGAGTTTGGCCCTCTGTGATGTGTTTCACAAGCAGATGTTTGAGAACAGAGTCTGCATCCCAAATCGAACACCTCACACCCAGTTACAGTGCACTACTTTTAACCATGCAGGGCCCATAGAGTTCTGGTCAAAAGTAGTGCACTATATAGGGAATAGGGTGCCAGTCAGGGTTTAGAATCAGACTGGACAGGTTAGGACTCAGGAGTCAGGGGAGAGTGATAAGCTAGCCTGGCTGGTCCCAGGTCTAGATGTGCTTTAGTCCAAGAACGTTTTAAACACACACATGCACAGATTCACAGACGTAATGTGAAATACATTTAGCACACTTGAGCTCACAAACACAGACTCACACAGATGCAAGACCCTGTAGAGGTGGGATGGTGCATGCTCGCAGACACACACCTTTGACCCCAGTAAATCCCACTAGTTTTAGTTTCCCACCCTGCCACCCCTACTGGTCATAGTGGGTCAGAGTGGGAATGGGAAGAAGGGCCACAGCACTACTGGTCTGACCACCTTACTAATGATCAGGGTATGCACGCATGGGTGTGTATTCAAAGAGACATGTTACAGAACCTTGTGACACCAGTTAAGAAGGGATTAGGGTGGAGAGAGAGAGCGAGAGAGAGAGAGAGAGAGAGAGAGGAAGCAGAGAGAGAGGGAGAGAGGGTGAGGGTGAGATGAGAGCGAGAGCGGAGCAGGAGAGGAGTTAAGGAGAGGAGAGAGAGAGGAAGATCAGAGAAGAGAGCGAGAGAGTTGAAGGGGAGGAGAGAAAGGAGAGGGAGGAGAGGAGAGGGAAGCGGGAGGAGGAGATTGAGGATGAGAACGGGAGAGGGAGAGAGAGAGGGGAGAGGAGCCGAGAGAGAGAGGAGATTCAGCGGAGCAGATAAGACAGCTTGATGGCACAGGCACGGGAGAGTACAAGACCAGGAATGAGGAGTCGAGAGGTGAGAGAGCGAGAGAGAGAGAGAGAGGAGGAGAGGAAGGAGAGACAGAGTGGAGAGGGGAGAAGACGGAGAGCGAGATGTAGAGAGACACAGAGAGAGATGGAGGTACGATGACAGAGAGGAGACTGTCGACAAGATGAGAGAGAGAGAGAGGATCTTGAGAGACCGAGGGAGAGAAGCTTGAAGAAGAGGAGGTGCAGGGTTTCAGGAGTCAGACGCAGAAACCCTGACAGGCAAGCAAGAGAGACATGGGACGAATAAAGACATGAAGTGGAGAGAGCCTAGAGACGAAGGAGCTGGAGGTGAGGAAAAGGAGAACTGAGAGGTGAGTTGGGAGACCCCAAAAAAAAAAGGGGGGGGAAAAAAATTTCCAAGGGGAAATTTAAACAAAAAAGGCCCCCCCCCCCGGGGGGGGGGAGGGGAAAGGGAAAAAGAAAGGGGGGGAAATTTTTGGGGGGGGGGGGCCGGGGTTTTTTTCCCCCCCGGGGGGGAAAAAAAAAAAAAAAAAAAAAACCCCCCCCCCCCGGGGGGGGGGGGGGTTTTGCGAGTCGTCAGTCCGACAACCGTGCCTGGGTCATCGGTGCCAGACAGGTACCGCGCTAGTGGCTGCGCTCTCACTCAGTCAGTCCAGCCAGCGGAGCAGACTGGACCAGGGCCTATGGGGGGTCATTGGAGGTGGTGGTCAAGGCCGAGCAAACCGCCGCGAGGAGGTATGCCCGCCCAGCCCTCCCATTTTTGCTTTAGTTGAGGCGCGGTCGCAGTCCGCGCCTTTAGGGGGGGGTACTGTCAACACCCTGGCTCTGGGACTCTATATGTTGAGCCAGGGTGTGTTCATTCTATGTGTTCTGTTTCTTTGTTTGGGTGTTCTAGGTTGGTTATTTCTATGTTTGCCTGTGTGACTCCCAATCAGAGGCAACGAGTGTCAGCTGTCGGCTGGTTGTCTCTGATTGGGAGCCATATTTAACTGTCTGTGTTTCACTTTGTGTTTGTGGGTTTTTGTTCCTTGTCGGTCTTTGTAACCGTGGACTTCACGAGTCGTTTATTGTTTTGTGTAGTGTGCTTATTATCACTGACGGTAATAAAGTCAATCATGTTCGCTCAACACGCTGCGTATTGGTCTACTTCTCGTCAAGACGATCGTGACATTACCCTTCATCTTCATCTTATCCATCATCATCCTCTGTGCACCCTAATCTGGCAATTAGAGGCGTTTCCCACAGGGCCAATCAGCGTTCAGATGACGATCCCGCTCTGACCAATCAGCTTTCAGATAACCATCCTGCACTGATAGAAGATATGAGAGTGTTTATAGATTACACGGTGCAGCCTGCCGTCCTCTTCCTCTAACAGATCATTCCTCTAACTAACCTCCCTGTGAACTACCTTTGAAGACTGAGCTGGTACACTCGAGAATGAGAAACAAGGACCATATTATACATGTAGCGTTGCATTGTATTGTTCACATTGGATCAACCTGTGCTAACCTTTATCTCTCCCTCCCCAGTTGACCATGAGTATGAGCGGCACACTGGAGAAGGGGGCTCACCACCAGGCTCTGGAGTTCTCCGAGGAGCTCTCTCCCGACAACCACCACCACCACCTCCAGCACTCCAACTCTCTGGCCTCCAGCGCTCCTGTGGGGACCCCCTCCGGCGTGGTGGTGCCTCCCCCGTACTCTGCAGCTGAGAGTGGGGGAGGTGGTAGCGGCGCTCCCCTAGAGCTCCGGGGCTCTCTGGACTGCTGGGCGTGCTCGGTGCTGGTGACAGCCCAGAACCTGGTCATCGCGGGGATCAACGCCTGCCTGGCCGGACTGGTGTTCGGACTCATCCTCACCCCCGCCATCGTCATGGTGGTGTTCGGATTCCTCTGTCATTCTACGGTAAGAAGGGTGTGTGTGTGTGTGTGTGTGTGTGTGTGTACACAAAGTAAAGGGCATTTCTTACATTCATCTTCCAAAATTCCTAGGTGTCATTTCAATTTCGCATTCATATTTCATCTGTGTCAGCGTGTGTGCGTCAGTGTGAGTGGTGTTTGCTAACACAGTCATAACCATTTACCAATTTCAGAAGTACTCAGGAGTAACTGACTAGATAAGAGACCAGTAATTATATGTTATACAGCATGCTGACATTTCAGGAGAGACTAACTGTAAATACTAACTAAACTTTCACCATCCACCACGAGTTTGGAATACTTTAGCTGAAAATTAGGGTGGAGTTTGGAATAGTTTAAATGAGGTAGAGTTTGGAATAGTTTAAATAAGGGGTGGAGTTTGGGACTAGTTTAAATGGGGGGGTTGGCATATAATGAGGGTGGCGTTTGGGTCGTTTTACCCTGGGTGGAGTTTGGGAAAGTTTCCCCGCGGGTGGAGTTTGGCATAGTTTTACTACACGGGTGGGTTTGGTGTTTCCCTCGGGTGGCGTTTGGCCTCGTTTCCCTGCGGTGGAGTTTGGCCTGTTTTCCTGCGGGTGGACGTTTTGGATAGTTCATCGGGTGGCGTTTAAATTTTAATGGGGTGGAGTTTGGCCCTCTGTGATTTTGTTTCCCAAGCCAGTGTTTAGACGGCTGCCTCCCCCAATCGACCCTCACACCCAGTTATGGTGCACCTCTTTCACCCCTGCGGCCCTAGAGTTTTTGGTCCAATAGTGCACATATAGGATAGGGTGCCATTTAGGGTTTAGAATCAACTGGACAGGTTAGGACTCAGGAGTCAGGGGAGATGATTAGCTAGCCTGGCTGGTCCCCGGGCTGATGTGCTTTAGTCCAAAAAGTTTTAAACACACACATGCACAGATTCACAGACGTATGTGAAATACATTTAGCACACTTGAGCTCACAAACACAGACTCACACAGATGCACGCATGCAAGACCCTGTAGAGATGGGATGGTGCATGCACGCTCACAGACACACACCTTTGACCCCAGTAAATCCCACTAGTTTTAGTTTCCCACCCTGCCACCCCTACTGGTCATAGTGGGTCAGAGTGGGAATGGGAAGAAGGGCCACAGCACTACTGGTCTGACCACCTTACTAATGATCAGGGTATGCACGCATGGGTGTGTATTCAAAGAGACATGTTACAGGAACCTTGTGACACCAGTTAAGAAGGGATTAGGGTGGAGAGAGAGAGAGAGAGAGAGAGAGAGAGAGAGAGAGAGAGAGAGAGAGAGAGAGAGAGAGAGAGAGAGATCTACTTCACTTGCTTTGGCAATGTTAACACACGTTTCCCATGCCAATAAAGCCCTTAAATTGAATTGAATTGAATTGAGAGAGAGAGAGAAATGAAACAAAGGAGAGAGGGGGATGAGAAAGAAGTGAGGGGGGCTAAAAAGTTACCCTGATCTCACAGTTTGCTGTCACAAACTCTGAAAAAGATAGAGGATCTTCGCTAACCAGTTGCAAGAACTTGAAATGAACAGTTGCATGATTTCAGATCTAGATACCAAACACACACCCAACTCACAACCAAATGCCTTCAATAAGAATGAATATAAACAATATTAAGTTTGGGACATAAAATCCCTGATGAGGCCTCAGAAAGTAGAAACGAACAGACATTCATGTATAGTGTCATCTGTGTTCACCTCCCAACCAAATACCCAAAACGCCAAGGAGTCTAATCGCATAGAAGGAAGACTCATAAGGATGAGCGCAGTCGAGATCTGAGAGAGCGTCTCTTACGAGGAGAGAGGAGAGGAGGGAGGATGAGCGGCGATCGTCTTCTTCTCTTCTTCTCTTATCTCTTCATTTACTCTCTTCTCTTTCTCTCTCTTTCTTATCTTTCTCTTCTCTTCTCTCCTCTCTCTCTCTCACTCTCCCTTCACTCTCTCCTATTATTGTGATGTTACACAGCTGTGATATAAGAATGGCAATTAATCACATTTAATCTATGGAAGGGCTCCTCGTTCTTTGTGGGGTCAGTATGAGTGTGTGAGAACAAAACGGATTGGGTTTGTGAGTGTTGATCAATCTCTCTCTCTGTGTGTGTGTGTGTGTGTGTGTGTCAGACTGCTATCTGCTCTATCCTCACCTCAGACACACCTTCTACCAGGGGCACATCATCGTCTCCCTGCAGCTCCTCCTCTCCCCTATCTGTCCATTCCTGCATTCCTCCTTTATTCCTCCATCCTTCACTTGTCTTGACCATGGGCGCTGAAACCAACGACTCTCTCCATCTGTTCTGAGAAGACACCAACAGAAAGCTTCATTAGCTTTCATTAGCATTATGCAGTCATAGGAACAGTAAGAAAAACAGTAAGTAACACAAACAAACAAAAAACAACACATGTCCCTCTCCCCAGGTGCGCCCTCATGGGACAACCCGCTACTGCTCGGACCTGCTGAATGACGGTGGCTGTGTGGCCCTCCTGGTGGTAGGTTTCCTCCTGGTTACCCCCCTCCTGGTCCTGGCTCTGGCCGCCTACTGCCGCCTGGCCCACCACCTCCAGCTGGGGCTCTGCTTTATACCATATTCCAGGGCTGTCTACAAGAACCTGCCCGCCACACAGCACCATGGCCTGGGAGGGGGCTGCTGTGGAGGCGGTGGGGCCGGAGGGGAGGGAGGAGGAAAGGGGAAGGTCTGGGTGTGAAGGGGAGAGGGTGGGGAGAGGGAGATGGAGGGGAGAGGGTGGGGAGAGGGAGATGGAGGGGAGAGGGTGGGGAGAGGGAGGGGAGAGGGTGGGGAGAGTAGGGCAGTGGCTGGGGAGAGGGAGGGGAGAAGGTGGGGAGAAGGTGGGGAGAGGGTGGGGAGAGGGTGGGGAGAGGAAGAGAAGGGAGCGCGTGGAGGGAAAGGGAGAGCCAAGATGAGGAGGGAGACGGGATGAAAGGAGGGAAGAATGGCATTAGAGAAGGGAGGAGGAGGAGAAGGAGGTGAAAGAGGAGGAGAAGAACAGCCACAGCAGTCAAACTCCTATCTGGGAAGGCTACAGTACAAGCCCCACAGATTAAAAACAAAGTAAACCATTCCTCTGGCCTGAGTTCAACCAAAGTAACCCCCCTCACACCACCACGCTATATACAACCAATTTAATGAAAAGTGACCTGTCAACATGTGGGATTTACTGTCAGAAAATATTATAGCAGACCAAAAAGAAGCAGGAATTTTTACACTGTTCAAGATGGAGAACAAGTAATCAACAGCAAACATTTCAACCACATGGCAGGCTAAATTTAGTTTCTTCAGTGAAACACTGGACATTGTATTAAAGGACATAATATCACTGCCATGTGTTCACATCAAATATCACATCAACACAGTCTCTTTAAGCATTTATCCATCATGAAGGACCTTCAGTATAGTTTTGTACATTTAGTTGACTATGGTTATGACTGCTACTGTTTCTTGTACATTTCCTTTTTTCAAATATAGCCTATTTGGAATCAGTTTGAGTCTGTCTTTTATTTTAAAAAACAGTGTGTTCGTTGTGGTTATTCATTGTGGTTATGCATGAATTCCCACATTTGGGGTTATTCGCAGGGGTCAACACAGCCAGAGTGCAATGGCTGAGCCTCGCCATGGGTGAACCACCTTCTTGATCATGGTATCTCCCCTGCCAGCTAAATATGAGTTGCACATATTCAATGTGAGGAAGGGATTCCAGTTCATACATTATTCGGCAACTCGGTTCGCAATTTGTTACGCGACGGTTGCAGATGCGCATATGAACGGCCAGATTTAAATACCGTATCTTGAAAAAATGTCACGTTTATTTTACAATCACAGCTGTATTCTCAGTGGGGTATGAAGCTGCACTACCGGCAGCAACGAACACAGGACACGGCTAAAATCACCGCCACCATTAGATAAAAAAAACTAAAACTAAAAAACTAAAATGAAAGTTATTACTGTTAAATCACCAGTGTTTTGTCATTTGTAATTAGCAAATCAGTTAACTGACTAACTTCTTCCAGTGTGAAGTCATTGGTAGGTAGCTTGGTAAACTATACTGAACAAAAATATAATCGCAACATGTAAAGTGTTGGTCCCATTTTTCATGAGCTAAAATAAAAGATTCCAGAAATGCATCCACCTGACAGGTAAAAGGCCACTCTAAAATGTATAGTTTTTTCACACAACACAATGCCACAGATGTCTCAAGTTTTGAGGGAGCGTGCAATTGGCATGCTGACTACAGGAATGTCCAACAGAGCTGTTGACAGAGAATTTAATGTTAATTTCTCTACCATAAGCCGCCTCCAACGTCGTTTTAGAGAATTTGGCAGTACATCCAACCGGCCTCACAACAGCAGACCACGTGTAACCACACCAGCCCAGGACCGTCACATCCGGCTTCTTCACCTGCGGGATCGTCTGAGGAGGGGGAGGGGGATGCTCAGGAGTATTTCTGTCTGTAATAAAGCCCTTTTGTGGGGGAAAAACTATTTCTGATTGGCTGGGCCTGGCTCCAAGTGGGTGGGCCTATGCCCTCCCAGGCCCACCCAGTAGGGCCTAATGAATATATTTCAATTGACTGATTTCCTTCTATGAACTGTAACTCAGTAAAATCTTTTGAAATTGTTGCATCTTGCGTTCATATTTTTGTTCAGTATATATTTTCAAAGTAGCTTCCCCAACACTGAATTGAACTGTAAAAATGTATTACCTTTTAATGTGGTATGCACAACCAGTCACCTCACCTCACCTCACCACCCTAAACCCTAAGTGAGAGATCGAAATTTAGGGGCTGGTACAACTCAAGGTGTCATAAAACAATTAAACCTATTTTCACATGACCCTCCCCTTTTCACATGACCCTCCCCTAAATTGAACACTCTCCCCCCTCATAGAATGAACTCAGAATAATGTTTCCCACCACAAATAGCAATAACTGTAGCGACCCTGCATTTATAAACATGTATATCGACTTTGCCACTTCAGCATGCTTTTGTGACACAGTCGATGCCGCGCAGGACGACGGGCCAGAAGGTTGATGGTTTGCTGACCACCACAGACGAGCTCACTCTCCCTGCCTGTTTCATTACACTACGATCAGAGCCGGCTGCAGACAATGATCAGCTAGGGGGAAATCAGATTTTCAACATTTTGATGCTGTATTTATAATGATATAAAATATATGCAATGCATTTTCCACCAACAGGTTTCTGCACCAATGCACCACACAACCAATAAACAAAGCATACCAACTTCGGGCACTTCAATATCATGGTTTGTGTTTTCATCACCACAATAAATAGACTATTTTAATCTCGACAAACAGAGAATGCATCCCTCCCTACCTTGTAAGCTTATCCAGTATCGAAGGCTTGGCTTGGCAGTCTCTGAATGTCATTCAACTTTTAGGTGTTTTGTAACAGATGTCTATTTCCATTAATCAATTGGCCACTGCACAGTTTGGATTGATTGATTCATTGATTTTATTTGTCAGTTAAGAAATACATATATAAACAAAGATTTTTTGAAGTGACCGGGATTGCACAATAAAGTCGGGGACTTCTTTCCATTGTGGTCCCTATTTTTTTTTACAGAAATATGCATTTTAGTCATTTAGCAGACGCTCTTATCCAGAGCGACTTACAGGAGCATTTAGGGTTAAGTGCCTTGCTTAAGGGCACATCGACAGATTTTTCACCTAGTCGGCTCGGGGATTAGAACCAGCGACCTTTCGGTTACTGGCACAACGCTCTTACCCACTAAGCTACCTGCATATAGAAACAATGACATAGATACAGACACATTACAGCGATAGAGACTAAAAAATGCTCAACCTCCAAATGAGTATGAGGGGGGAGTTTAAGTACAATTCTTATAAGCTTGTTTGGCTGGTAGCTTATTTTTTAGATATTTGGGGCTGCTGGTGAACCATGATGTGCAGGCATAATCAAAGTGACACTGAACTAGCGCAATTGCCAGTCTTTAGGGTGTCGATAGCTAGGTTTCCATCCAATTGGCGACACATTTTTATGTGAATATTCTCAAATCTTCATAAAAACAATACGCCATTTCAGAGTTTCTTTTAGGAAAATGTGGCGCCAGATAACAGGACAGGGAAGATTTAAATTTACCGGACATTTGAGAAATAAATAAACGAGGGATGTTGGCCAAATGTGCCACATTTGAGTCCTTAAAAACGCCTTATAACAAATTACAAAAACACTATTCCTTGTGTTTGGATGTGTAGCATATGCAAAACTTTATAGCCTATTTTGGTTTTCCTAAAACAATAATTGTCCACCTCACAATACAGCTGTCAGAGATTTGAGCACTAAATGTATCAGGACATTGCATGCAAAGGCCTATAGACTTAGGTGTCCACTGTATGATATTAATATTTTAATATATATATATATATATATATATATATATATAGCTCATATAAAGGAAGAGTAGCTTAGGCCTAACCCATGCATTACTTTATGTCAGATGGCTACTGTGTCTGCTAGATGTAGGCGTACAGAAGGAGGGTAATTTGTTAATTTTTGATCCAAATATTTTGTATAAAGACAAGCATTATGTTGTTAGTTTATAGGAGTAACTCTGATAGGCCTGAAACAGTCTTCCTCACCTCAAGTTCAACTGTCGGAGTCAGTTGGAGCGCCGGGGCACACTGCCTTCATATCATAGGCCTGTGGTAGCTAAAGCTTAATAATAGCCACATCATACCAAACCTTCACAAAAATTTCTAAACTTTATGAGAAGCCATTATTTAGAGGGAAAATACAAGCAGAAGAGCAAATGTAAACAAGGGAAAAAACACACTACCCTCCCCTGTGCCCCCCAAAAAACACACAACCCTCCCCAAAGCAAAAACAAAAGTTTGGCAACCCTCCCCTATCTTGGACCACCCCACCCCCAGTAAATGTAGATCTGTCCCTAACCCCTACCCTTAACCATAACCCTTACCTAACCATTTAAAATGTCAACATCAATGGGGTAGGGACATCCCAAGGACAGTAGCAGTGCATGGGTAAAATCACTGGGGAAGCCAAGCCAAAAAACAACAACATATATTGCGTTGTTTGATCTATAACCTGTTAGTTCATATGCCTTGCGATCATGATATATAGGCCTAAGGCTGAGACAGTGAGAAGACACAGTGGCAGAATATATTCAACCACACCTTTGTTTCATCACAAAACCGAAGACCAACCTCTGTCCAGTGAAGTCCACAAAGCATATTGCATGTCACAAACAGTTACATGACCTACAACATGGTCAAGCAAGTTCATGTTTCTGACATTTTCAGACTACTAAACAACTATTGATTTAGAACCATGAAGAGTTACCACAAGTCGCAAAGAAAACAGGAGCTGCCTCCATTATTCCAACACCATTTCAACTTCAACACTTCAACATCATCAAATCACCTATGCTTAGTCTAATACAGTGGCAACTAAAAGATACCTAAAACTACTTAGTCGAATCCACATAAGCTAAATGTGTGTATGTGTGTGTGTGTGTGTGTGTGTGTGTGTGTGTGTGTGTGTGTGTGTGTGTGTGTGCGGCAATCTGGATAAATTGCATGGGTTTGATGGCACAAGCGGGGAGCCCAGCCAACAGAGAGTTGCAGTAGTATAGTACGGGAGATGACAAGTGCCTGGATTAGGACTTGCGCTGCTTCATGTG